TGATTAATCAGAGATTTCGATGATAAAAAGTTGAGATAGAGATGGAGTATAAAAATTCAGCTTCGGATATTATTTTTTCGACTAACAAGCGAGATATTGGTAAGAAAATTTCGGCATTAAAAGTCGTAAAAGTCGCGTGGAGGATGCCTCTAACGTAAAAGTTTCGAATGCTGGCAATGCTCGGCATTAGAAGTCGTAAAAGTCGTGTCCGATAGCCAATCTCGAAATCTGTAGAGGAGAAGAGGGGGTGTCTCGGGTGCAAAAGCTTGGAACGGTGGGAGGAGAAAATGGCAAGCGAATTTCAACGAACGAAATTGGAGCGAAGGCAGTGCAGCAGGCTATTCGACGTTTGAAAAATGATCGCAAGGATCGTTTTTTTTTTTTTTTTTTTCATACGGATCATAGGAGTAGGAAAACAGAGGCGTTTTATTTATTTTTTTTTTTTTTTTGACCATTGTTTAGCTGCAATAACTCGTTCGGAATGTATTTCGCGCAAATATTTGGAATCGAATGATAACGGTGCGATACAATAACGGGCGCCACCCTGTGTTGCTGGGTGAAAGGAAACGGTGTGGACACAAAGGATTTGCGGCTTTCGCTGTTACAGTAAATATTACTATTAATAATATTAGCTTTCGAGATAGGCCTAACGGCCTCGCGTCGATTTCTCGTCTACCTTGTGCAAACACAACCGGTTTACCGATTTTACCTCGCCTTGCTTAGATCTCTCCACGGAATGGATGTTTGCGAACCGTCGGCATCAAATGGTTGCAAAACAACCGTTATTTATACGTGTATGAGAATCGATATCGTGATATCGTTATTATTGTCGAAGGAGAAGAGATTCGTTTTCGCGAACGATTCACTTCTCCTCCTTCTGCGCGTTTAATTTCAATGAATCGACGAAGGAAATTACGAACAAATATCGCTCCGGACGAAGTTGAAGTAGCAAAGTTGAAAATATTGCGAGAAGATTATGAAAATATTCGATTAAGTTATCGCGTACGTTGTGCAAAGAATACAATTTCGAATAAATTGTTGGTAGAAAAAATAGTGAAAACACGTTTCGAGATACAAATAGTAAAATGAGAGAAATAGTGAGAAAAATTAAAAGGATATTTGGATAAATTATTTTTTATTATTGCACGACGAATACAGGAAAACAAATACAGGAATATATAATAGAAAGAAGAACAATCTTTAAGAAAACAAAAAAGAAAAACTGTTTTTTATTCAAAAGTAAGAAGAAAGTAATTGGCGAGAACGTGATATATTATGATTCGACGACAGAGGCGAATCGAACAGGCTACTGTTCGGTTATGAAAATATTCAAACGAGATCCGGCCGACATCTCGTTGCCCAACTTTACAAACCATTCACAATGGCCGACGACAGGAAGCCACCTTCCAATAAACTTTCCATCCGTCGTGCTCGTTAGTGGATGTCCAATAACGTCCAATAACGGGCATCCTCGGGCGATATATCGAGTTTGTGCGCGGCACGAATGTCTCCAGACCAGAGAGAGATCCTCTCGAAGCAACGCTCGTGACTCGGGCGCGACCGACCACGTTTTCAACATTGATCCCCCAACCTTGGCCCTCGCGCTTTGCGCAACTTGATATCGCCGATCCAACCGTCTATCAAAAGAGGAGGGAGGGACTCGCGGAAACGGAGTGGAGCGGGTTCGTGTGCGCGCGTTTTTACTACCCCTTTGACGGATATCTGACGTCGCACTTAAGTTGAAAAGTCGCCGAGTGAAAAAAAAAAAGTACCCACTCGAAATACGATGCACTTTCGTCGTCTACAAAAGACGACGCTTTAAGACCTCTCGGCCTCTCCAATGGTCCCTCCCTCAACAGTTTCGAAATATCATCTCAACGACGATTCGTGGAGCGAGGTCACGGTCGAGCGTAAGTAAATACACGAAGTACGAATCTGGGTCTGACCTGATACAGTGCACGCTACTTATCAGTTTAAAGCGGTTGGAAAGAAAAGTAGAAGCGAGTTTAAGCTTCATTTCCGTGATGTATATCTTATACGTACAAATATATAGCGAGAGTATAGCGAGAAAATGTGTCGATGAATTTTTCCCACTTCGTTCTCGAATAACTCGAATATAATTCGTACGTATATTATAATTATCATCAAAGAAACGAAGAAGGTACACATTTCCACGCCTCCCACGAAACTCTTTCATATTTTTCCCCCTGATAACACGAGAGACGGCACACGAGATAAGGGAAATCCCCAGACGAGCGGCTCTCACCGAAACGTGTGTCTCGCAGATACGCCGGTGGTTCGTTGCCGACGCTACCTCGGGACCTGGGGAATCGTTTTCTGGACATCGTGAAACTCGACGACTATCAAGAACCGTACCAGGCCCTCAAGTACGCGCCGTACTACAGCTACAGCACGGTCGTTATGGAGATGAAAGACATGATGCTGAACAACAAGGGCAGCAACATCAATCACTCAGGTAT